CTCATTATCAATTGAAGTAAGATTGAATTTTTGTTTACAAAATAATACAAACAAAAATGAAGAAATAAACAACTAAATAAAATAAAGATTGCAATTATAAAGAAGTAAAATGGAATATTTTAATACTGATCTCCTCAGCTGCAACACCGTATTCTAAAGAAAAATTGCACGTCCTTTACGTTATATTCAACAAAACAATAATCGACTACAAAAGATTAAATAGCAATAACCTTTTTTTTTTTCCACCATAAATTTCGTAAAAATAAATTCTCTCAAAAAAAGCATCTGATAAAAAACACTAATTTTTGCCAACTATTTCTGGAAAATATTTTGGATTCAAATATCAAAAATATTTTACGGAATTGCAACACTAACAGTAACAGTGCAAAGACAAAAAAATAACAGTCGTTCAAAAGTGGCAATGTTCTAGAAAGTGGCAGAAGTCTTGGTCATCGCCCTTTAAAAAATGGAATATATCCTAAACTACCATTAGACATTATAATGTCAAATAATTGAAGCAATTACTGTGAACTGCGTAAAGATTAGCAGAACACGAACCCGTTTTTAAGACTGGCGATTCTACAATACTTAAAAATTTTGGCGAAAATTTTTAGCAGTAGATCAGGCACAACTCTCTCATTTTAGCTTGGAAAGCGATCGAACAACTAAGTGACACTGGTAACCAAAAAATAATGGCAAGAAAGTTCACTCCGCTCTGCCTATAAGTCACGAAACAAATAAAATCCTTTCTTTTATCATGAAATGAAATATTAATCAGTGAAGTGAAAGAAGTATTAAAATGCCCGTCAGAGATGTCGTCCGCAACCGCTCAACATCAGTCCGTTCTACACTTGAACCTGGTAAAGATCCTCTCCAAGAACTGTCATTTAATATAAACTTTGTCTTTAATACAAGCGGTGATGATGCAAAAATTTCTCACTGCCCATTCAGTCAAGAAGGAAATACGCTACAAAGCTTTTTTTTTCTTTTTTTGAAGCAATAAACGACAGGTTTGTTGTGAACAAACAGACTGAGAAGCTGCTTAATGACTGCTTTAATTTTTTGATGCACTTTTGAAGGTAACACTAAAACCTTACAAGCTAGATTCGCAATACCAAATGAAAGATGTTAACCACGAATTTCGTAATTGTGTTTATGTGAATAAGCATGCCTTATAAGATGCTCTGTGTTTGCGAAGTTCGAGGAATAAGCAAATCTCAAAACCCCCGCGGCCTTGACACTGACAAACAAAGGATCCTTAGCGGAGGTTAGTGAAGCATAACGCGCTTATTTCATATGGTTCGTTGCTGTTACTAAGTCTTTCATAAATCGTTAAGTGCCCATCAATTTTTCTAAATCTGCTCTGTAAATTTGAAAAAACAAGCAAAAACACCTGTACTGTAAGAACCAAAACCAAAATGGACACTTCCCGAATTATAAAAAGTCGAATACTCCTGAGCAAACGACGTTAAGAATAGGATAAATAAAAAATTTAATAACAATTATCTGAGCCATTTTTTAAGAATCTGCACAAAACTTAACAAGAAAACAAAACAAAACAGAACAGAACAAGTCCCTCACAGAAAAATTAAGCACAAGACACCAAGCGTTTCAAGAAATAAGACAATAAAATTAGAAAAATATTCAAAAGGTTTTCGAAAAGTTAAAAATAATTAATCACCATAATCAATGAAAGAAGAAGCCAGAGCCAAAATTCCATCTTTTTTTCGTTAATCCGCATCCAAAAAGAAGAAATTCCCACTTCTCTTTTGCTCCATATCTTTCACAGAATCCTTTTTATTAATACGAGGACGATAGTTATCTTTGTCCCGCCTGTAGGTGACGTCAACTTGTTTTAAAAACCTATTCATTCCGACAACGAGAGATTGTGGTCTAGAAAAGAATTGTTGAGAAACAGTATACTGTTATACAAAAAAAGTTTCATAATCAGGGAGCCAAATACACTAACAGTTAACAAAGAACTACTGTCAACCGCAATAAATAAATAAATAAACATAGGCAAACTGACTTGGACGCTGCTGCAGCAACTGAGGGAGTACCTTCAAAATTAATAACACGATCAGCAAGATATGTTGCCATAATAAAGTCATGCTCCACAATAAATGCAGTCTTTTTTGCGTGCAGTATAAACCTGAACGAGAAATATTTTGTAAAGCCGATTTAAAAAAATAGTGTTCATACTTCGGGAAAAACCGCTCAGGATATTGATAATAAATTATGTATTAAACAAAAAACCTCTTAATAACTTTTGCAGCAACCAGACGTTGTTCAGCATCTAAGTATGCACTTGGTTCGTCAATAAGATATACATCAGCTGCCTTTCCAAGACACAACGCCAATGCAACTCGTTGCAGCTCTCCTCCAGACAAATTTTGGACCTGAAAGATATGCTGTCTAGCAAGAAAAAATTTTTTACTGGCATTTATACTAAAACTCATTAGTTTCTTCAACTTCCAATACTAAAGACACATCTTTCGGAAGAGAAGCTAATATGACGCAGAAAACAGTAAACCTCCTGATCAAAAAGATTTTCTATCATAAGGGGATTCATAACGTCGGTTTTGAATTGCGGATGCTGGTACATGTCAGGGATTTTCTCATGCAACATGTACCGAACAGTAGTTGTTGATTTTGGACTAATTTTTTGAGGCTTGTATGAGATATTCAGCCTCGGCATCTCCAACGTTTCATCGTCCACTTTTAATATTCCAGCTAATATCCTAAATAGAAATTTAAATACAAAGTTAATGCAAACAACATTAGAGCTGCTAAGAATGAACAAATTTAAATTTCAAGCTATTCAAAATTGTTAAAACAACATCTATGCAGAAGCAGAAAGTAAACCTAATTAAAGTAGTCTTTCCCGTTCCATTTTCACCCAGTAAAACGATTATTTCGGAATCTGTGAATTCCCCTCCTTCTACGGTTAGATGGAAATTTTCCATAGTTTTAGTTAGTGAAGGATACTGATAATGAGCAAGTCGTTTCACTACTTCCTTATCTAACTGATCAGTGACTTTAAAAGATAGCTGTGAGTCTCTGCAATGCTAAGACAGTTACGACTGAAACGAAATCATGTGTGTTTTTTAGATAAACCATATTACCGTAAGAGAGCGAATAAATGTAAAAAATCAAAAAACTCACCTAAACCGCATGTTCTCAGTAGGAATAAAACCATCCAAGAAAATGTTAATACCTTCACGAACTCCTGAAGGAAGTGTCACTACACCATAAGCTCCAGGAACTCCATAAAGACAGCAAACGTAGTCAGAAAGATAATCAAGTATAGCTAAGTCATGCTCAACAACAATGACGTAGCTAAATACGAAAGACTTTTAAATAACCTTAGCAAAATGTAAACTACGTAAAATCGAACTGAAAAATGAACAAAGTTCAAAGTACCTATTTCAAACAACCTACTTGTGCGCGTCAACAAGATCTCTTATCATCTTGGCAGCTTTCAACCTTTGTTTTACATCCAAATAACTAGATGGTTCATCAAACATGTAAACATCAGCTTTTTGTACAAGACACATAGCAATAGCAAATCGCTGTAATTCACCACCTGATAGCTGGTCAACCATACGGTCCTTCACCGATTCCAACTCTTAAAATTCCCATACTTTAAATGAGACGTAAATGTATTCTTTACAAAATAATAACTAACAATACACAATTCATTTCCCAACCTAACTCACGCAGAACATCCTCTAGATTTTCACGGTCACACTTCTTCTTTAAGAGATCAATGACTTTCCCTTTTACAGCCCTAAAGATAAAGAAACACAGCACATGTAGATGCCTCAGTTAATAATCAAATAAATAAAGTGACAGAAATACCACCCAAACAGTCATCGTTTCCGCGTACTTAAATATAAATACCTGGCTATCTGATCGACGTACTGTGGCTTAACAATGGCTTTAAGATTATCTTCCAATATTTTTGTAAAGTAATTCTGTAATTCCGAGCCTCGAAAATAAGTAAGTATCGTAGGCCAATCCGGTGGCGCCTAAAAAGGAAAATAACAAAGATAATCTCAAAAAACTGTAGAGTAAACAGTAAAAAAGTGCAGCAATAAAACAAGGGGTAGACCCATAGGCTCGAAAACTTTCTGTAATAGGAAAAAGAAACCTTTACCTCGTACTTGCCAAGGTTCGGTTTTACTTTGCCTGCAAGGATTTTCAAGGCTGTAGATTTTCCAATACCATTAGTTCCAACTAAACCTAGAACCTAAAATGGACTGCCTTGCAATAAACCTTTAGCCAATTACAGGACAGTAATCGTTACCTCTCCTGTGCGTGGCACCGGCAAACGGTGAAGCTTGAACGAGTTTTTACTGTAGCGATGAGTAGTATCTTTCGCAAGATTACTGGGCAAATTAATAATTTTAATAGCGTCGTATGGGCACTTCTGAAAAAAAGCTTTGTACAAAATAACTGAATACAGTAAATGCACCAAAACAATAGTCTCAGTTACGGACCATTATAACTATAAATAACTGTACTGCCACTCATAAATACCTTAACACAGATACCACATCCTATGCATAAGGCTTCTGAGATATCAGCCATCTTGGAATGCGTCTCAACAACGATGCACTGTTTCCCTGCAAGCTTTGCGACATCAATCTCTCCAGTAAACTGAGAACAAAAAAAAGACAATTAATAAGTGGAATAAAATTTACCATGAACTCATTTGCTGTAAAAATTTCGTAACTGTCCCATATACCACAACTTGAATTATTTAAAAGAATTTAACAAGATATAAGAAAATAAGCGTACCCATACGGACGACCGGACAAGACTTCTTGCAGGCTAATCCGCAATTTTTTGGCTTACAACGATCTTTTTCTACGATGGCAATACGAGTCATCGTATCGGTCTCCTCCTGCTTTCTAAAACGGTTGATATTCATCTTGCCAATCCACTTGCTGCTGAAAAAGAAAAGATAAAATGATTCGTTTACAAGTTTGCAGCACTCCAGCAAAACGATACAGTTTTTAAGAGTAATATACTTCGATAACAAATATGATAACTAATGTGTCCCTTGTCAAGCAGCAGAATATGCTCAACTGGTTCACTGTTTGAAAATAAATAGAAGCATTACCAATTTAGCTAAAGGAGTCAGAACTCTGCTGCATAGCAATGCTAATATCTATCGCTACAATATTATAAGTGTGAAATTACCATAACACCTCTCATCGTGGAAGAAACTGGAGAGGAATGAGTTGCAAAGAAAGAAATAAAGTGTAGGCGAGTTCTTTAAACGGTGGCATCAACTGTATTTCAGTGATGCTAGTTCCCACACTCTGGATTGGTACCTCTACCTCGCGAAGGTTTTTTACCCAATTTCCCACTTTCTTATTACTCAGTATACGTGTATATTAAAAAAACAACCTCGCTCAATACCTTCGAAAGAAAAATTGCGCATGCGAAGACAAGGTATTTGGTAAATAAAAATTTTTTAAATTTTCTCCTGTTTGTGAAACAGTGATAAAACGATGAAATTTTGAGGACCAAGATACAGAATCACTCGCCGTCGAGTCAAAAGAGCCAGCTTTTGAAGCATGACTGAAAATCGATTTCTGAGTTTATCATACTGACTGTCAACAACTGCGTTCCTCGTGAAGCAGCAGAGCGAATCCAAGTAATTTATCACTTGAAGACAACCAACCAAAGAAAAAAGCTACACTTCAGCGCTTTTAAAAAAAGTGAGGACAGTAACACTTTGGCCAGAGAAGTCACAACTGTACTGTAAAGGGGACTTTAGGATCTAAGCCTAGAATATTTTAAATCTGAAAGCACCTTAAAAATATTCTTTTAAACGAGGTATCAACATTCCTAATAAATAACAATTCATTCATTAAAGCAGGCATACTTGTGAGCAAAACCCTACCCTCAATCCAGTAAATTCCAGTGTGCCCAAAGTCGCAACAAAGCATGATAGCTCTATTATAACCAATCCACGGCCTATCAAACCCGATCATAAAATTGCGAATGGAAAGCAAGTATGGCCGGTGGTTTTCAATTATAACAGATGCTTCAACAACATCAACGAACTGGAAACACGCAGAGTCTGATGCAAGAAATAATCACAGTAACTGGCATCAATCTCTTTTGGGCAGTTTGGATTCTGATCTTTTAAAATCCACAGACAACATCCAGCCATGATCACTTCCTAGTGTATGAAACTGAAGAGATTAACTTTGATAATTCCTGATCAGTCTCAATGAACTCTGTATCGTTGACCAAAGGCTACATGGTCCTCAAGCGGTAAATGGTGGAAGCAAATGATTCAAATCGTGAGTTGTGTTTGAATACATTAAGCAGCCAAATGAGTGTTCTATAAGCAGGAGAGAACTCTGAAATTACCAATAAGAAGGCATTTATCTCAGATTCTTAGATAAATGTTCAAAACAATCCTACTTGGAGGCAAAAAACTAAAGGTAATGGAATATTGCCTATAGCTCCAAAGTAATTTTCGCTGTAATCAGAAACGTTTCAGAAAGTAACAGCATTTTATCTATCTTGGCGTCCGCAGATCCATTTTGATTATAACCGATTTTTCTGCGGAGTTGGAAAACTTTTACCGAGCACTGAGTCGTTTCTTCTGGAAATCCCGTAGGACCCAACTTCGCTACATTTGTATTTTTTTAGTTCTTCATTGGGAATCGCTTTAAAATCTCACCCATTAATTTCGTAGAAAAGATGCTTGGGAAGGAAGATGCTGAAACAAATAGGAATCAAATAGGAATCTCTTTTGCTCGTTGCTGATGACCCAAAAATTTTCATGAATAGAAAGAACTTGTTTTTAGTTCAGTCCCATCAGCTTTCTAGATCCGCTTCCTTAACCCCAGCTAAACAATCTACTCTTCGAAAAATTAAGAATTGCTTTAAGTGTTAAAATCCATAAATTTAAGGCTAATAATCCTGGTTGTTGACAAAAATAATATTCCCATTGCTAGTTACTCTACCTATCCAGGCAGAAAGACGAAGAGAATTAGTGAAAGGGTAGCACTGTTAGATTGAATGCCTTTGCTTTGGTCACCAAAATATTATTTGCCTTCGATTACACAACATTTTGTAACGCTCTTCTGGCTATCGCTTTTTAATTTGATTTGGTTCAAGTGTTGCAGTAATCTTGAAGCCTTTGGTGCGCCTTGGTTTCATATGTATGGTGCGATGAAATGTTTCTGTTTTCTTCTTTTAATAGAGGAGTGCGTTGCGATTCTTGGTAATGCGGTTTAAAAATATTTATTAGGCTGGATTTTTGATTTTCTGGTAACAGAAGCCCATTTGGAGGAGAATGCCCACGGCCTATCGGGTATTTATGATTGGGACTTTTCAAGGAGCTGTAGGTGGTTTTCCCGAAAGTGTTCAGGTAGTGACCGTTTTCCTGAATTTTAAAGAATTCGCCAATTGGCGATGTTTGGAATCGAGTTCATTTGGCGAATTTGTTGATTACTTGCCTGCTGAAGGTGGTAGGAAATATATAAAGATTAATGCTTTGGGGAGCTTTCTCTTAGATAAATACAAGAGTAAGAAGTTGGTTCAGATAAATCAAGGTTGGGACGCCTATAAGAAAACAAGGCGGTTGTTGAGGTTACACCTGATATGGTTCGTTTTCTGGCCGGTGGTTTTGAAATGTATACATTTATCCAAGCCTGGTTGTTTTGTCATGCAAGAAAATTTTAGTCAAACTAATCCAGGAATGCCATAGAGAAAAGCGCTGTTCTTGAACTGGAACATAGTTACTGCTGCCTAAGGAATGTTACAGGCACTGGAGTTTGCCGTTTGATCTAGGAGCTTCGATTACTGGTCGCAGATGGAAGAGGTAGGGTTTGTATAATGTAAAGTGCATAAAGCTACAGCCACAACAACTCCAATATGATGTGGTGCACTTTTTAAACAAATCTTTTGATTTATTCTGTAACCGTACGAACGTGTTGCTCAAGTGTAGGTGCTTCGTTATGGGTCTTGTTGTATGTTGTCTAGAATGCGCATGCTGGATTTTGATCTCCAAAGGTTACTCGTTAGAAACATTGCTTAATTTGATTTACAGAAGCGTGACTTTTGATTTTGTTTGTCTGTATTTTAACCAAAACGACAAAGGCTGAAAATTATAGTCCTCAATTATTCGCAGTCTTTGTATGACGTCAGAGTTGTGGGGAACAGTCAAATTGAATGGCAGTAGCAGTTTACGGCAGGAAAATAGTGAAAATTACGAATTACACGTTTCTTTCTAGTAACTGGATATTCATATTTACGTAGGCATCTGTTGACTTGGATAACTATGACAGTTTCATTCAGAATTGTGTTTGTCAGTCGTTCTTATTGTTTGTCGTAATCAGGTTACTGCAATGTTTGAACAGCTTTTTAGAAAGGAAAGATAAATAAGTTTTGAAATTTGGCTTAAAAATTACTGTTAAGGATTTATGAAGGACAAAGGCTATGATGCTTTAAGGCCGTTGTGAATAGATTGCAAAACGGGTTTGTCAAGCACGGAAAGGTTGATAGGTTCTACACAATTTGACGCAGTTATAGTCAAGGTTGTGTAATGAGAAATTTGATGAGGCATATATGTGGTTAGCGTAATCAAATCCGTTCTATTTTGAGCTTTTTTTTAGAAATATAGAAAGTGGTTAAGCGACGGAAACATTCTACTCCTATTGAAAACTAATATTAACTACTTTTGAGTACCCTTACTTTCCTCTGAAACTAATTTTTAGTTAATCAACTTGCGTTGAAGAGTAGGAAAACTTTTAAAATTTTCTTGAAGGGATCATTGTCACTATACTATAAGGTAGAGCCGTCTGTAGTCTATGTTTATTTGCGCAACACTGATCTCCCTAACCTCTCAGATTTATCCTAATAACTAAAAGTATTATAGAAGACCCCAATATCTAATTGTAAAGTGGTTTTAAAAAAAAGTTTAACGCGGCCCTGCAGCCGCAATTGCACATCTTGATCTTTGAGACATCCGTTTTTTCAGTTTCTCGAGTTTCCCAACAGGCTATACATAAGTTTCTAACAAGCTCTCTGTATATGCAATGGTTCTTATTAAATGCCCTCATAATCCTTGAATCTGTTCGATTAATAAACAGTCAGGTAATCGGGACAAGGAAGAGAGTAACTAAATTAATGCTCCATTTGGTGCACCAACAGGTAAAAGATTTTCTGCAGTTGTTTTGCGTGTGAATGAGCAGTTCGTTTAAAGTTTTCGTCTGATTTCTTTCAGACAGAGCGAAAAAATACGAAAAGTAAGACATAAATTGCTGTAATACTGGATTACTTTGCCACCATTTCAACTTCAAAAAAAAAGAAAAATTGAGTTTAGGTTTTGACCGCAGAAACTTTTTTGCTCTCCGCTTCAAATACTGTTTAAGTATATACAATTTTTAAATGCATTAGTCAACACATTTGTTGTTTAAAATGATTGATGCAAGCAAAATACTCAGTTTTCCCAAAACTACGATTTCAGAAAGTGGGAAAAGCAGCAAGTAGAGGTTGCAATTGCAATTTAGTAAGGGCTTTTACTATCACTTCTGTTCCAGCAATGCACAAACGACAATAATCTGCTTTACCGACCTAAAGACCATGGAGCACTAAAGTCACACGATCGGCGGCTGGTCAAATTGAGGGAGAAGTGAGGAAGAATCATTTTATTATTCAGCAGGAAAGCAGTGATTGATAAACTACCAAAAATGTTGAGTAGGTGAACCTAAGTTTTTGCCAGCAGTACATTATTTTTTTACTTCAAAGTTACCACATTCCAATGGGTCAGTCCGTTTCGGTGATACTCTTCTTGAACACAATTAAACTGGAAGATCAAGAAATGTTAGTAAATATTGACGTGTCATCGTTCGTTTCAAAATTGTTCTCTGAAGAATTCAAGGTAGCAAAAGAGTGCTGAAAAGCAAAGACTGTAGAGGAAATTCACATGCAGCAGAACACTTTCATTATTTCATGGGCTTCTGTAAAAAGTAGCTTTTTAGGGAGATTTTTTGATGCTAAATATTGTTTGAGTGGCAAATTGCTGTTAAACTATCAACATTAGCTCTCTGTGGAATAGAAGGAAATAAAGGCAAAATAACAAATTAGTTCGCTATAGAATGATATTATTATAAAAAGAACAAACTGTATAATCATTTTTTGCTTGTCAGAGGTTTCGAAACAGTTAAAGGTTTTGATGGTATACAGTTAAGAAAATTGAGTTTTTTTTTTCTAAAATGTCCATTAAATCAGTAAACAGTGGTAGGTTTTAAAAGACTTTTGATACTAGATTGGTTTACCAGTTGCCTCTAAGATATCTGTTTATAACCTTTACAGCATTACCAGTTTAAAATTTGTCAGTTTTAGCATTCGTGAACGTCGAGTACTTCCCAGTTAGTCTGATCCAGCGACAACTCTGCAGTAAAACAAGAACAACAGAGCTGTCAAATAAATGGCAAATATATTTTGCAAACAAACGTGTTTTTACACTAGCAAATGCTTGAAAATACTGCTAGAAATTACAAATGTTTATTGAAAGGATTGTCTTACTGGAAAAATCAAGAGAATTAAAATGTTATAATAATCTTTCCCTGTTTATTCTGCAACGTTTAGAATGCATTTTCTCAATTTTTAAAAAACTTCGCCTCTTAGTGCTTGTGATGGAAACTGATTTACGCTACTTGGTAATGGTACGTTACTGGTAGCAATGTGAAAAAAGCTCTCTTGTTTGTACCTTACCTTAACCGCTTCTAAAAAATACAAGTTGATAAACGTGCGCTCAATAGGTCGTAAGGGCAAGCATCGCTAAGAGGAAATCCTCAGCATACAACTAAACTGTCTACAACCCTGAGTTAGTGGTCGTAACTGAAGTAGATCCGAAAATATTCATCGTTTTGGTCGCGGGGCTATAACTATCAGTAGCGAATGAAACTTCTATGACATATAATAGTAATTCAAAAAATAGTTTTTTTTTGACACCTTTGATATTTCATAATGGGTGTTTTACGATGTTGCCATTTCCTTAGCCCACCGAACCTCGCTAACGTAAAACAAAAATCATTAATCTGACTTCAGTTTGTAGTCTTCAAGCAACATGAAAGAAAAAGGCAGCAGCTTTCTTGCATACGTGTCTGCGGATTTTAAGCAGGATAAGTATGATTCTCGAAAACGCCATCATTCAAAAAATATGTCAGTGCAACAATGTGGAGAATATTTTAGTTTATTATTCTTCCCCCTTCAAAAACTTGCTCACATACTGCATCATTCCTTATAAAACAACAGCTTAGCCACTGCAAAAAATAACAATAACTACAAACAAACCTCTGAACAAAATTGCAATAGTCAACCAACTCGGCAACTGTGTATAAAAATAGAAAAATTGGTTTAAAAGAAAACTATATTTGTCTATGCCACTAACGCCTGACCTTGAACAGCTAGTAATTCCTAGAAAAAGAGCGAAAGAAATGTGCAAAATACAACAAATTTCCATTTAGTGAGAAAGCGAAATTTCAATAGGTAGGTTAAAGAAAAAACGCTGAGGAAAAAGTCAGAGGAAAAACTCGTGACTAATGAATCTAAGAATGGTTTAATAAAATTTTAACCATAACTTAATTACCCTGAATAATTCTGGCGTCATATACAAATTACAAGCATCAACAGATCATTATTCATCAGTTTTGTCCTGCTTGTTGTGGTGGATATCAATCCTATCATAAGTGAATTGCCTATCATTTTCGTAACTGTGTTCAATATGATCAGGCTCCTTCAAAGTAACTCCGCCTTCTTCCAAGCCTTTGTAAAACTCTGCCAGCTGAAATAACAATTTCATTTATTAATTTCCCTCAGTGTCTATGTCTTGAAACCTAATGATTTTACTTAAAAATATTTCACTCTTTTCGATTTCTAGAGTACTTAGACTTTCAAAAAAGAAAAATATACAGTGACAAGGTGCCAATAGCTACTCATAAAAGACGTTTTTTTGCAAACTTACGTGTGTGCTTCGTCCGACTTCTTCTTCACTATTACCTACAATAGCGAAATGAATCCCAGACATCAAACACCGCAGGGCCAAAATTCGACCAAGATTCATTGCAGCACACGTATCAGTCTTACTGAAACAAACTAATTAAAGGAGCATTCTTACGCATAACACAACAAACTGGAATTCCTCTGTCAACGCAGAAACGTTTGAACAATATTAGAACTTAGCCAGTGGTTAATTAGTAGTTTTAACAGTAAAAGATTAGGAACAATACCTATTTGAAGTGAAGAGGCTTAATTATACACACCTGTAAAGTTGTGCCTCCACTGACTTCTCGTTCGACAACGCCTGTAATACCACACCATCTTTGTAATGAATTAACTGCGCTTCTAGATACGTCCGATGATGTAAAAGCAGCGCTCTAAATATCAGAATTGCAGTTATTCACGTCTGTCGATCCAGTCAGCAGTCATCTTCTGAGATATCAAAAAGGATAGTTTATGTAAATTTGGTAGTACGTATACTAAGTAAAATAGAAGCCATTCTAATGTCTTGAGTAAATCCTTTCTATTTTGAAACAGTAAGTACTTCTTAGCTTGCGTTTTAAAGCCAAGGTTATCATAACCTTCCAGAAATGCTTTCAACGCAAACTCTTCATATATTTACGTGCTGAATAAACAACAGCTAAATGCTAAAGATCACTCAAGATTGGATCAAAATTTTAAAAACTGGTTATGCTATTGTGTGCTGTATATGTTGACACGACAACCATGAATGATTACTTGAAATTTAAAAACACCTCGAAAGAACCCAGTGTGCAGCCTAAGTAGAAACGAAAAGTCAATCCATCTTTGGAAAAAAGTAGGATTTTTGAAAATCCAGCTCAGTGCTTAGAAAATTTCTCAGTCTTCCTTACGCTTTTGTTATTGACCTGAATTTTCCACTTCTTCAAAACCGCTTCTATCAAAATTAATGGCCTCTCGGGTAGAAAACAAGTCAATGGGTTTGGTAAAAATAATAACTTTATAAAAATAATAAATAATAAGTTCCTAATTAAGAATCTCCACTGCTATTCTCAACTTGTTAAGTGAAAATAAGTTGATAACGTACTTGTATATGAACGAACGTCGGTGACGATCAACTTCAAGGCCATATCCCAAAGGCTTCGGTTGCAATCCCATCATCTCCAAGTTTCGCGGATTTCGATTTATAAATCTCGCTAGGAACTTTTTGCTCATTTTTTCTCATCTATTTTCTCCAACCAGTCTGCAATATGCCACTACAGTTGAAACTGACGTCTGAAGATGGAAAAAAATGAACAAAACTAACCAGCTAAATTCTTAGTGATTAAAGCCCTAGCCCCAGTAAATTACATCGCCACGAAATCCCTAAACTGAAGCTGATTACACCGCTGCTTAGAAACCAAGCACTGCCTTCCAGTTCAAACAAAATTTTTAACCCTTGATGAAGAATCAGTGACAGCAAAAAAACTTTACTGCTGCAGTCACCAGATAAAACTCAACGCGCATCAAAGACAAATCAACTTCCTACCTAATATGAATATTCCAAAACACGTTCAGTAGTATGCAACAATATCTTTTCGATCAATGGGCACATGTGCTATTTAATGATTCTTCGCGGCCAATTTTCTCAACCTAACAAAACAAGCAACACTACAGTCTCCTGCGCCAAAACTCAAACCTTCTTTCCTTCCCAAAGCACCTTGCTTAGTTCCAAAAGAAAAAACTGACTTAGTTCGTCAGGACACAGAAGTACTAGTTTACCTCAGTCTATCTCGATCCACCTTTACCCACCGAAAGAACCACCTTCTGCACGAAATAACCTCGCTTCTTTAGAAGTATGGAAATCCAAGTATAACTGACACAAATTTGCTTAAATGGAATGGCATTGTTACACACATAAATTCTCCTGTAGCAGGCAACAAACAACGAATTAGCAGGCAATGAAAGCACTTGCAAAGATTCAGCATCTGTTCCTTACAATTACAACAAACACGCAGCAATAAATAAAGAATTTTAACCGCTGAAAAGAATACGTACTGAAAAATTTTCCAGATTTTGCAAAAAATTTAACCTTACCTGTCCCTTATAGGCAGTTAACACAACTTTCGCTTCAAAAACTGTTCTTTTTTTAATATAATATTTAATGCCTTCTTCTCTGTCTACAAAATATTCCAGTGACAGACATCCAAAAAACTTGAAGATTTGTTAAAATTATTCAGGTGTAACAACAAAAGCAAAAAAATTTAGACTGTTTCATACATAATAATCCAAGAAAAAAGATAGAGCATTTCAAAAACTTATGGCAAAGAAAGCAATATAGTCATCGGGTGGCACTGAGCACTGACTAGCAAACAAAACTAAATTATCACCGTAACCATTAACAAAGCCTAATCATAAACCAACAAATACAATTCAACTAGTTCTAGGCAACTTAAGAACCAGAAAATAAAAGAGAACAGGACTGAATCAAGCAATTACAGTCAGTAAATAACATGGCCAAGGAAAATTATCACAAAAACGAATCGTCCTCTTGTGCACAGTCAACTGGATTGATATTCCAAAAATATTTGATTACTGACAAATTACAGCGTAAAGCAACTAAAAGTTGCAAGCTCAGAACTATCACGACGAATCTGTAGAAGTTTGCTGAGTTTAAATGGATTTAATACTTTAATACTACTTAACACATCCTATGTTAATTTCCACTATCATCGAATGTTAATTCTAAATAATTACAACAGCTGAAGACACTAACGGTGAAGTATCATTCTGAGAGCAACAAGACATGTGGATATAATCAAAAGATAAAATAACCGTAGTAGAAAAATTACACGCACGAAAGCTGACTATGAAATAAATTGGAGGAATAAATAAAATGAGCTTTAGAATTTTCAGAACACAACACCATTATTAAAAGCTGAAATCATTTTTACCGAAGGAGAGAGGTTAGAACAAAAGATAAAACTTGAATTCTAAAGCGAGACAAGAGACTATCAACAAAGAGCTAATTTTTTTAAAATTAACTAGTTTTATATAATTTATGACTAAATCTACAGCATCAACGGCCAATCAATTACCTATTGCACAGGAGGAGCAGAGTAAATAAAAAATAATGCAAAGAAAAACTAAAGGCAGACTGGAAAGAACTATAGTTTACAACTGCTCAACAGCACCGGTCGGCACTGGTTCCACGCTTTTAGCTTCCATAGGCTGCATATCCGAACAGTTATAGTAGTGGGCTGGAGAGTACTCACTACTGAGAAACGCAGTCGGCACATTACTATATCGACACAATGGTGTTTGTTGAGTATTAGTCACAACTGAAATTAAACAGTTATGAAAATGCCCCTCTAAATATGTCAGTGTAAGAGGCATATAAAATCGTTGTAAAATGGTAAAAAAAGCGTCAAAAAAATTAATTACCATATCCTTGGGGCAGAAACGGCATGAAGTAGGACTGCGCCTGGCATAACGAACCTGGCATTTGTACCTAGCAATAACTTGTCTTAAATACCCAAAGTTCTTGAAGTAAAAAAGATACATAAAGAGAAAAAATTTACTAGTTGCCTCGTGCGACTTCAAAAACATTTTTTTAAAGCTATAACAGAATGTGATGAACAAAAAGTTTTTGATCCATTTACCTGTTGAGCAAATGAAGGACACTGAGGAGGTAAGTGATATGTGTAAATTTGTGACGAAGCAAGTTCTGGTTGATCACCGACACAAAGACCGTCAATTTGCTGCGTAATAGACTGCTGAATTTACGAAATAATGTGAGAATCAACGTTATTACAACGCCTTCAAATGAGGATAATTATTGAAATCCTTTTAAAATTTTTACACAGAAAAAAGTAAGAAATTACAATATCAGAACGAGCGGTGGAAATATTTGTTTGAACACATTGAACAAAAGGCTGGTTGGGCGCACCTAAAAACAAATTGACGGACCTCCTCCTTCTAGTTTAGATAATACTAAAAACAAGGCGTACTGGCAAGTAAAAGCTTCGGTCAAATAAGTCATTCAAAAGGAATAAAACCTACCTATAAAGTACTGATTCGAACACGATGGCTCAACTCGCGAATTTTCGAAAACTGGCGCTTGCCAAGTGGGAACAGTTAAAGGTTCGGGTGCACCTGAAGAAACCGTAGTGTGCTCCGGTATAGACGGTTCTCGAATAGCTAAAAGGACTTGTTACATGTATATCGAGATGAAACCGACAATAAAAAAACGTGGTCTCCAAAGTAGAAGAAATCTCTGTTAGTACCTGTCATACTTCTTCGAAGTGATGCTGCCCTCTGATCTCCATTTAACTGACTATTGGCAGTATTATGCAAACTTCTCTCGGTGTCAATACTAGCCGCTTTCTTAAAAAAGTAGATATGAGAAATCGACAACAAAATTCGGTTCACTGTCGGTTTAGAAAAATATGAATTTTCACTCTGATAAAAATAAATGCAAAAAACATCATTTAAGTACTTTCATATTTTGTAAAGCTCCGAGAGCAGGAGCTCTGCTTGAAGACGGTGTGGCCTGTGTCACAATACTAGACGGCAGTTCTGTTCCTGGGAGGTAACTGGTGTAATTATCATTTGTATTCCATTGATACACTTGGGACATTGGGAAACCTCCGTAGACTGCATTGCCATCTAATGAAGCCCGAACAGCAATCTGCTGAACTTCTCGATAAGGGTAACAATTCCCCGAAGACTCCATCATCTGAAAGATTTTAAAAGAACAATAATTTAGCTAGAAAATGAAGTACTGAGCCGAATAAATAACAGCAAAAACCAAGAACTGCACAGAGATCAACTATTTCTCGATGATAAAAAATTATTACCGGTATAAGTGGTAAATGAGAGAGGCAAACTGTTAATAAATGCTGCAAATGTTCACTCTCAATATGACTTAACATCAAAATATTTGAAAGCATGCATACTTGCGGTCCCATAATGTCGGAAGACGAATTTGAGCCAGGAACGGAATAAACACCCATTTGTACCGGAGTTACAGGAAGTGGACATGCAGCTGGAATTGCATTTGTCGCTGCATACTCACAATCAAATGAATGAGCCCTCCGGCCCGGTATAAGATCGCTGCCTAAACAGTGCCTTCCCTGAAAGTCAATTGTTGATTGATTACAAAATCCCAATTTTATTTTAAAAAATTTGAAAAAAGAACCTCTTCATAGCTTTGTACATTCCTCTTAAGATACTTCCGTGGCTCATCACTAAAGTTGTCACCGCGAATCAACGAGGAGAACTCAATGTTTGGTCTGTATTTCGTCTCGATTAGAAATTAAAAAAAAACATGGCTTATCGAGCGGAGTTAAGTGAATTAAGCTGAGTAAAATACGAAGGTAAATTTGAGAAAACTACCAAACAAAAATCAATTCTTTTATGTTACTTCACTTTTTTCAACCCAAAACCTATTATGCATTCTCAACAAAAAACGTCTCACATCCTTGTTTGCGAGTTCTTGTTGACTACTACAGCTGTACCATTCTGATCAACATTATGGTCCAGTCCAAAAAATGCAGCGACACGATGGACTAGCATCCGATTATACGAACTCATCGCGGGGAACTTTTGAGAATTGCGCCTAAACTATCCATATGGGTAACTCAAACCGTAACCTTCCAAACTTCGAAAAGAACTAAATATTTCAAGCGAATTTTATTGAGAAATTTCCAAGGCAATTATAAAACAAGTGAAAGTGCTTACGAAGAGTCATTAATTAGGGCTTTCATTTGTTGCTCCAACTGCAATAACATTTGACGATCCTTCATATTCTTATGCAGCGTATTCACTATGAAAGCTTGTAAATCAATACCAGTTGAATCTGTGTAAACATCTTGAGAAGATTCTGCAATAAATTCATTAATAAAAATCGCTTAAAAAATAAGGATTAAAAGCTACGTATCACCAAATAAAGGCCTCCCAGCCGACCCTACGAAAGTGTCAGTATGAAAATGTAGTTCCATAAAATCAAAAAAGAATTTTAATCCGCGAAATGTTTCGAAAAAGCATGAGTTGAATTAACTGAGCTTCCCTAGCCTAGCCAGTGATAAGTTAAAAGAAAGTCACGGTGCGGCTAGCAGTTCAGTCTAAACACTTATTCCCCTTCGTTCCCCACTGCCAGTTGCAAATTGAGGAGAAAGTGATAGGTAGGAAAATAAACTCACATCGCAAAAAACATACTAAAATTTGTCTCACACTTCTCCTGACACTAAATTAAATTCTAAAAAAGTCGCTGCGTTTTGCAAAACTAGAATAAAAGTTTCTTCTAAATTAATGAACTTATTATAATAAAAAACAACAAGTTTAAAGAACCATGAGAAAGCGAAGAGCCGCTTGAACGGGTTGTACCACCTAATGGAAAGCCATTGAAACGAATAGCAAATTGTGAGTCATCTTCACCACATAAGGCTTGACTGCGAATCAGTAATTTCGGCCTTGAGTTAACCGATCTAGGTGGTACGCAGCGCTAAAATAAAATGGAAGAAATATAAGCATTAACAATGATACAGATATTCCAAGAAATCGCATCAAAGGGAAGTTTTCTACTAAAAATGTTACGCATAAAGTAAAACTGAGTAGAAAATAAATGTACTACAATCAACTTACACTGGTATTAGGTAAAGAAATTTCTGCTCTTGCAGCCCTCTCTGGAGTTTTATTTCTACTACTACTTAATTCCTTTTCTTCGGCATCTACTTGAAGGCATGGTACATTGTCATAAGGCTAAAATTGAAAAGCTCTAAGCTACAAACCCAGTGCTATGAATTACACATGCGTCCGCATACATTTGTACAGCTTAAAGGGCAGAATAAAAAATATTACGCAAAAACCACTAGTTTGATAGCGGTAAAGTATTATGCATCCAACAAAGAAATTAGAACAATTAGGTTACCTTTTTGCATAATGTAGTAGTTACTGAGACACAAAGAATGTATCTCAATATTAACCTAACATCTAAGTAAATTCAGACAAAAAGGCTATTCAGAATGATATGACGTAGAAAAAGTAAATGAAAAGGATTAATTTTAAACAGTTCACCAACCTCTTCAACCACTTCTTGTTTCGAAAGTTTTTTACCCGTACGAAAATTGGTTTTACTTCTATCAATAGAAGCTATATCTGTCTCACCGGGCGAATCCGCCATTTTAGTTTGTTCTGATCCTAAACTGCCTTTTGCAGACGAAACCGGTGACATACTCAACTCCCCATTGCTTCTGTAAGTTAGAGAATATATAGTAAGGTTATTTACTTTTTTTGATCAAAATTTATCTCGAGAACATCGCGATTAACCGCAAAGTGCAACGAATTAGAGTACTAAACTCCAAAGGTTTTATTTCCTGTGATACATTCAACGTAAGATAAAGAAAATACTGCTTAATAAAGTATGTGGAAGTCATGTAAATTGAGATAATCGGAAGGAAAACCAAACCGGTGCCTTGAAATAAGTAAATTTTAAACATTTAATGCATCAAGTGATGGAATTAATTGAAGTAATAACATTTGAAAAAACAGACAACTAAATAAATTATAAAAGCTTTCAGTACAAGTAAAATATTGGTTATCAACAATCAACAACTGTTTGTAACAGATTACATTACATACTACAGCAAATACTAGTATTGCATCTTTTTGAAGTTGAATTCACAGCAACCAGTAAGAGCAGCCAATGTATAAAAAAAATTACCCTTCGCACCACCTTCTGCTATGGTACGACACATTAACCAGAATTTTAGAACTTGACATAGATATCTCTTCTTCTTTAAAATACTTTTTCCTAGCCAAGCAAAGTTATCATAATCGGAATCTTATATGAAATTATACCTAGCATCTTATAAATAAATGATTTCATATAAAAACAATTAAAAAATCTTTTCTCTATACAACAGAGATATAACATTCGCAAATTAATAAGTATTAGCAAAATCTAGCTGCAAAGCTATATCGAATTAAATTAGCCAGCTCACTGCTTATAAACGTAAAGAAAACGTTCTTTTTCCCTTCCTTAAAATAATTCACTCATAATTACTGTATTTCTAAACAGCCAGTTCGGTGGGATGCTGCCAACCAACTCAAGTGAGTTATGAGACAAAAGACCGACAGAAAATCAAAAAAGACAAGGTGATAAATAACTATACAACAAATTCTTTTAGACTAATTTTATTGGTTTGTAATACAGAAATCTTTTTCCCATCACACTACTATCGTCACAACCAACGTAGCCTTCAAAGAAGTCTACATGCTG